GTCTTAATCATTATGGAATTCCAGCTCCGAGGACAGCATCTAGTACAAGGTAGACCCCTGTGTATTTTGTTGAATGGATTAATGGGAAATGGACTCTGAGTTGGGGTTGAAGAGTGCTCAAGTACACACGCGAGAGCATCACTGCAGGAACTTTGTGACTCTTTCAGATGCTTCCTCTGGGATCTTCTGTGCCAGCTTTAAGGTCCTCAGTATGCACCTCAAAGCAGGTACAACCTTGTGTTTACTGTATCTGCTGCTTCACCACAACAGCATCCTGGTGACTTTGGATGTGGTTGTGCATATAGTAAGCGTACAATGTCTTCCTTCTCTGTAACTGGATATGCCACCCCTTTATGGTCTGGACTCGCTCTCAGAACAATCTTTTGCTGAAAGCCAGGAATTTACGAGGGACATGGAGATGAGATGTAATTTTGCCTACTGGAAAAACAGTCCGATGGGGGAAGGTGGGTGAGGATGGGAGAGAAACATGTAAACAATCAAAGGGGGACATGGAGGCCCCTCTCTAGCTGCAGATACATTGAGCATGAAAACAGTTTCCATATGAAAATAAAATCAGCCGCTGACTCACCAGCAGATATATACTTAGCCACCCATTAGCCTCAAATAACTAAACATTGCTCCCAGGCCAGCAAACACTGGAGCGCCTGTCCTCCCTTGCCGCTCAGAGTCCTGCTTGTTGTAATACACATTGAAATCAGACCTGTTTCTGAATCTTCACTCTAAAGTTTACTAATCGGGTAGGTCATTTAACCTCTTTGAGCTTTGGTTGAAGCAGTCATACTGTGGGGTAGTTCTGAGCTTTTGAGAGGGCATCAGCAAGAAGAAATCAAAAAAGAAAACACTTTACCTCAAAAAGCACATGGTCTGGACAGGGAGGAGAGAAGCTGATAGTGTCTGTTCATTTAAAATTATGAAAAGTTCTCCATATCATTTGTAAGTGATATTAGGGTTTTCCAGAGAAATGGAATCAATAGAACGTGTGTATGTGTGTGTGTGTATAGGTCCATAACTTGAAAACACACACACACACACTCACGCGCGCGTGCGCACACACACACACACGCATATATATGCCGCAGTCTGGTGCCTCCCAGCATATATATATCTATATATATAGATATATAGATATACTGGCTTATAGGCAGTTATGGAGGCTGGCAATTCCAAGTCCAAATCTAAAATCTGGGGCTGGGGATGTGGCTCAAGCGGTAGCACGCTCACCTGGCATGCGTGCGGCCCGGGTTCGATCCTCAGCACCACATACAAACAAAGATGTTGTGTCCACAGATAACTAAAAAATAAATATTGAAAAAATTCTCTCTCTCTCTCTCTCTCAAATAAATAAATAAATAAATAAATAAATAAAAAGACATTTGTTAAACAAACAAACAAACAAAAAAAAAAAACAAATCTAAAATCTGGGCCAACAGGATGGAGAGCCAGGAGAGGAGATACTCCGGTTGGGGACAAAGTCATCTGCTGTAGAACCATGGAGAATCTAGGTTGGGAATGAAGACTGAAGCAGTCTGCAAGAGCATCCCTTCTTACTCAAAGAAGGCTGGTCTTTTTGTGCTATTTAGGCCTTTGATTAATTTGATGAGGCCCCCCCCCCCAGCTTTACAGAGATTAATTTGCTTACTCAAAATCCACTGATTTCAATGTTAATTTCATTCAAATATACCTTCATGGAAACATCCAGAATAATGTTTGACCAAATGTCAGGTACCATGTTGCAACCAAGATGACACACGAACTTAACCATCACATTGAACAAAACTGGGAATATGATCAGGCTCTCTAGATTTCCCCACCTGTCTCTGACCCTGTGGGATCTCCTTTAGCAACCCAGGGGAGGAGGGGAGTGGAGGCAGCTCTGCCTGCCCACTGACAGAAGCACTGCTAGTAATTATGTGGGAAACTTGGGTGAAAAGTCCCATAGAATGTTTGTCAGTGAACAGCTGCCACATAGCAGAAGAGGAAGAAATTTCTCTCTGATGATGCTGAGCAAATAAACCACTGAAACAATTTATGAGAGTACATTCAACCAGGAGGACCCATCCATTTCGAAATGTACACTGAATGTAGTCATTCTGCGGGCCATTAACTGCACTAATTACAACAATGATTCAAAAGATGAGCTTTCACTACCATTTTGTAAGGCTCCAAGGCTCCTGGCAGCAGGATGGGCATCTCTTCAGCCCCAAGCAGACAGAAAGGAGGCGGAAACCCACCGTTACTGGACACTTGCTATCACTTGGCATTCTCCTATGATAGCCTATTTACCCTCCACAACAACCCTTTGAGCTAGTGATTCTTTTCACAGGTTATAGGTTAGGAAACTGAGGATCAGAGACAATTGAGTGTCCAAAATCAATTCACAATAAATAGAAGGCCTGGATTTAGGATCCTCTGGCCCGAAGTTTAACACGATCCCCCTTATCCAGCAGTTTCTTCTTACCAGGTAATTTAGAAAAAATAACAAACACTTCAAATAAATAAGGCAGTAACTTCTTAATACTTTCTTTGTTAGCTCTCTGTTCCTAAGTTCTTCCAGCTCATTAGGTGTGATGCTTAACACGCTTCATATTTATTAGGATGCAAATCTCAGAGGACAGAGACTAGTCTGATTCTTTTTAGAACTCCTGGAAAGAAATACCATCAGACACCCACAACAGCAGTTCAAGGATGGGATTTGGCATTCATATCACAAGGGTGCCAATTACCCAGGTTCGGCTGCTCATTAGCCATGTATATGATTCTTGTATATGATTTTGTATATGATTCTTGATCATCCTGTGCCTCAGTTTCCTTGTCTGTGAAATGTAGATGGTGATCTTATTAGTATCTACTTTGTATTGGCATTAAGTAGATTGAATGAGTTAATCCTTGAGACGGACTTAAAATAGTGCATGACACATGTAATTGATTACTCAATAAATGTTAGCTTTTCTATGTCCAGGGACTTCAAGAGCCTTATTTTTCTCTAACCTGAATTCTTTCAGGCACAGAAGGCTTTCGAAATGCTGAAGGTCCCTTTGGGCCCTGAGAAATGCAATTTCACAGTACGTCATTGTTTCAAAGCCATTTCACCCATAATTCCAGATGATCATAATTTATATAAGTTGGTGTTCAATGAATATTTGATTGGGTGAAAGCAAAAATTTTATTGATGGGTATATAGAGAAGCAAAAATCTTGACCAAGTTCACCTGGGGAGATGTCAGCAGAGCCCAGACTTTCTGAGAAGAAATTTAGTGTGTGTGCCCCTTTTGGGTACCCCTCACTACTGGCCACTGAGGTTCAACCCCTGAAAACTCCCTCAAGGAGCTCCCCCAATCATCTCCACTAGTGTCTCCCCTTGTCTGGGGCTGTCTTTTATTTCAGGAATCTCGAAATTCACTGGTCATACAAGAAAGCATTTTATCTGACCTTCCACACGCAAATTCTTTCCATTGGGATTTCTCTGTGTCCAGCTCCACCCCAGCCCACAGGGCCATAAATGCTCAAGTGTCTGCAGCCCAGCACCAGGGATTCCAGAAATAACAGCAGGCCCTCCATTAGAATGCTGGAACATAGTAAGGCATTTCTGCCTTAAGAGCTGGCCGTTTCCAACCAGGCTTCTCCTGTCCATCAAAGCACAAAGCAACCTTTACAAGTGGACAGGGAGGGGTAGCTGGGAGGGAGTCTGAATTTCTGGAAAGTCTGCACCTTTCCTTCCATCTGTCTGTACTCTCAGATCTTCCATTCTAGAGAGTCTCCAGGTCTGTTTCTGTCCACTTGGAATTCAAATTCTTTCGTGTCAGTGGCATTCCTTGCCTTTCTATGACCCATCCTCCCTTGGATATTCTGGAATAGGAAATCATAGCAGCATGAACCCAAATGGCAAATTTCATCATACAATCAGCAGGACAGCCACTTTACTTGGAAGTTGGGGGACTGGAGAAGTGCCAGAAGAGAATAGCTTAAAAGGAAAGGAAAATACTAGCCATGGCCCTAAATGCAAGTCATCTGGGGTGAGCAATCTCATTTCAGAAAGAAAATCACAAGTCAATGCCCAGGGAGAGAATATTAGTTTTACAAGTGTCCTCTCAAAAACAATATCAGGGAAAAAACAAAAACTGTGTGCTCACTGTTCACAGATACGTGAAAACACACACACAGGTATGTATTATAAATAGATGGACAGATGCACAATCTGGAAAGGTAGGAAAGAAATGTAAAAATTACTTTTGAGCATGGATAGTTGTGTTTTTTTCCCCCCAAATGTGCTTAATGTCATTTCGCATTTTAAAGAAAATCACGATACCTGGCATTGTCAGCCATAAAAACTGGCCTGAGTCTTCTACAAGGGAATTACTGGTTTCTGGTATCTGTCTGGAAACTTTAATTTATCATGTAAAAGCCATACTTAAGCCACTTTCTCCAGGGATTAATTGCTCTTTAATGGAGTTGGGATTATTTCTAATTTGCAGCTCTAACAGCAACGTCATTAAAGGCTGCTTTTAGCCTATTGAGCTCCAAACCATTGTCACGTATGCGAAGGTGGAGGAAAGAAAGGCGCTTGTGCAACACATCGGCCGATTAGGTCACCCTCCGAGGCCAACCGGAGCCGCAGCTGCAGAAGCCGTCCAGCTGCCGCGCACTATCTGCAGTGGCCCCCACATCAGGAGACGCGGCGGACGCCGCGGAGGTGGTGTGCGCCTCTGGGTCTCTTGCCGCACCCAGAAGTGCCGGGATGGCGGGGAGGATGAGGGGAGTTGGTAACAGCATCGCCATGGCAACAGTGACGTCCTTTTACCCTGGATCTAATTGGAGGAAACCCCGTGGCCGAAGCCGCAGCCTGCCGGCCAACCCAACTTGCCCAGGCCGACCCACCCTCCTAGCCTCCGCTTCCCCTCCCGCCCCGCCCCTGGCGCCCCCTTCCGCGCGCTCGGTCCTCATTGGTCAAGGACGGGGCGGGAGGTGGGACTCCCGGGGAGTCGCGGCACTCCATTGGACGGTAGCCTGTGCCTCGGCTCCGGGCTAGGCTGAGACGGGAGGGTCCCCTGCTAAAGCCAAAAGCAGATCAAAGTGGTGGGACTCGCGTCGCGGCCGCGGAGACGAGAAGGTGAGCGTTAGGGGTGGCCGCGGGCATCCTCTGGCCGCTCAGGGCCTGAGGACTGGGCAGGGGCGCAGCACTCGGGAGCAGCCGGCGCCCGCCGCTCGCCTCGGGGTTCGCTCCCGGCGGGAAGGTGCGGGGCCAACGGCCGCTTCCATTTTGGGCCGTCCGGGCGGGGGTGGCAGCCGCGGTTCGCGCCGGGTCCGCGCGCCGGCCTCCGCCTCCTCCCGCGCGGCCCTCGGGCTCCCGGACGCCCGGCATGGGCGGGCGGGGGCGAGGGAAATTCAAGCGGGCCGCGTGTGCGGGAGACAAAGCGGGCGGCGGCGGCGGGCCGCATTGTCTGACGCGCTCCCCTCCCTCCTTTTTGTCCCCGCCGGCGCCGCCCCGCCCCTCGCAGCTCTCGAGGAGGAGGACTCCCGATCAGGGTCGGCGCTCGCCCTCGCTCGCCTCGCCCCCGGCCTCGGCCCCCGCGCCATGGAGAAGACCGAGCTGATCCAGAAGGCCAAGCTGGCCGAGCAGGCCGAGCGCTACGACGACATGGCCACCTGCATGAAGGCCGTGACCGAGCAGGGCGCCGAGCTGTCCAACGAGGAGCGCAACCTGCTCTCGGTGGCCTACAAGAACGTGGTCGGGGGCCGCAGGTCCGCCTGGAGGGTCATCTCGAGCATCGAGCAGAAGACCGACACCTCCGACAAGAAGTTGCAGCTGATTAAGGACTATCGGGAGAAAGTGGAGTCGGAGCTGAGGTCCATCTGCACCACGGTCCTGGTGAGTCGCGCTGCTCGGCGCCCAGAAGGGGCGGCGGGAGCCGGGACGCCTTTTGTGTGAGGCTCTTGGCTGAGGGTTTCGTGGGCACCGGGTGCCCGAGTCCGCCTTGTCCCGGGCTTGCGAAGGAGAGCCCTGGCCACCTTGGTAGGTTATTTCAGTGCTTGGACTCACGAAGTCCTTTCCAGGTAAGTCTTTTCCCAGGTGCCCGGTTGCCAAAACTTTGAGCCGTCGAGTAGTTCTGCACAGACTGAGAGTCGGCTTTGACTTTTCGGGGGAGACTGCTCCTGGGATCTGTGAGTCCTTTAGATGTATTTGATCGTCAGCAGCCTTCAGATAGTTGAACGAAGGCCCCGGGATCTTTTTGATAAAGACTCCAGTAGGTTTTCCTCTCAAACCTAGCGATGGAAAGAAAATCTAAGCAGATAGCTCATTTTTCCAGTAAGAGTATCTGTTGAGCTTCTCTCCTACTAAGAATGGAGGTGGGGGGAGCGTAAATGTGGAAAGGGCACAGCCAGGTATAAAGAGCAAAATGTCCTGGCCACTTTCAGTATTTAATGACATTTCTCTAATGTATTGAAATGAATTCATTTCTGGTGTGGAACAGGCAAGGAAAGCTTTCCAGGTTTTGAACTGACCAGTCTTAGCCAGGGTAACTGTTGGGTGGAGTAGGTGGCTGCTGTGATTCACCCTTATTATATATTTTTAGCTTTGTCATTGCACAGATCTTTTGATCAGTCATTTAAGTTTTTAAAATTTGCCAGCACTCCATTCTGTAATATAAGTTAAATGTTTTAATCATCGGTTACTTCTATGAATACAGTATGAAATACCTTATACAAAACTGGTCTTTCTTGAAATGCCACCTTTACAAGACACCTATTGATTTTTTAATGTTTATTCCAATTGTATTTTAGGTGGGCTTTGAAAGACAAGCATGCTAGATTGGTGTTTTTTAAAAGGGAATAGAAAAAAATTTTTTTCCCAACCTTCTCTCCTTCATCAAATCAGACTGGTGCTTTTCTTCACCTTGTAAAAAAACTTCTTTAATCTACCTGTTTTTCTAAGACAGATATAGGTGACCCAAACCTAATCATGGCTGATGGAAATAGCTGGCAAAGGGGCAAAAAGGCAATGCAGAGAGTGTACTAAAGTGGAGAAAACTTTATTTAGATTATTTGCTATGTGAAGGCAAGATTTAGCTTCAGTCCTGGCTTGGCATAGGGGAGGGACTTTCCTCATTGAACTTGGGCACTCAACCACTGAGCCACATCCCCGGCCCTATTTTGTATTTTAGAGGCAGGGCCTTGCTGAGTTGCTTAGCAACCTCACCATTGCTGAGGCTGGCTTTGAACTTGCAGTCATCCTGCCTCAGCCTCCCAAACTGCTGGGATTACAGGTGGGGCGATGGCGCCCTGCTGAGGAGGCACTTTTAAAAGCTCTTCTATCCAAATTGCTTTTATTCAAGAAATTTGTGATCTTGAAGATGATGAGACCTCAATGGCATTAGTTATTGACAGCATTATCTATTGTCAAGAGAAATCTCAAGAATCTCTTATACTGACAGTGATTTCTAGGTATGTATTGCTTTTGAACATTCTCAAAAGCGTAGTTCAGTTGCTTTTCTATTATTAGTTTGAGATTTGTTAGTTACCCTGTGTGATACAGAATTATAGTTTCCCTGTTTGCTAGCAAGTTTACTCTGAGCCAAAGGGATATTCCTTTTATTTTGTGGCTCTTATAAATTTTGGTTTTTATGATGGCCTAAGTCAGTGGTGGAGAGTTTTGCTTCATTATGTTGTTTGAGGGACCAGGTATATTAGAATAGACCTTTCATGAAGATCATTTTAATAAGAGAACCTCTGAAATTAGGACAGGTTTTTTTATTTATTTATTTTTTTAAATACCAAGAGGAAATAGAAGAGGTTAACTTGATTAATCTGAGACACTGATGCATAAATTAAATATATTCTTAGTAAAATGGCTTATGAAACTTATTTTGGTTTGATGGCCAACCTATTTAAAAAATCACAGAAAAGCACATCTTCAGGTTGACAACTATATGTGAGAGCTCACTGTGTGAAAGGCATTGTACCAGGCAGTGTAGGGAAGAACAAAGCAGAGAACCCTAGATTTTTGCATATGAAAAATGCATGAATGTGAATTATATAGGATAATTCCCATAAAATGGTTCTAAACAAAATGCTGTGTAAAGTGTAAAGAAAACAGAAACCTCAGAAAAAGCTTCACAGAGATAGTGGCTTTGGGGTAAGCATTGAAGTGGCTTTGGGGTAAGCATTGAGGGAAGAGGCTTGGGAAGGGCTGTAAATATTCTAGGCAGAAGGAATATTCACCATGGTGCTTGTTCAAGGGAAGGCTTTCATTGTGACTGGAGTAGGGTCTGAAGAACATGGCAGAAAAAAAACAGAGAGGAGAGTAGGAACCATAATTTATAAGAGAAGGTTAAAGTGAGGTTTTCCTCATTTAACTGGCAGAGGGGAGATGTTAAAGATTTCCTGAATGGTGTACATGTGGCAGCATCAAGAATTCATGGCCTATTATTGGATCTCACAGACAAGGAAGTGATAGACAAATGAACAAGAGTCTTAAGATTGATAGCAATTTCTGTATTTATTTGTTTGCAGTGCTGGGGACCAAACTTGGCCTTGCTCATGCTAGGCAAGTGCTGTACCACTGAGCTACATCTCCAGCCTTAATGCTTTTTTTAAGAATTTGACAGAATCTGTTGAAATAATGAGGAAAGAAGAGTGAAGCCTAAAGTTTCTGAATGTGCATGCTGAAATGGGATTTTCTTTATTCCTTTGGTGAATAGGAAGGAGAATTTGGTGTGAAGGAAGTAGGTGAGACTGACATGGTTGTAGAAGATTAGATAAAGAGTAACATGAAGGAACCAGCTACATTTTTGATCCAGAATAGCAGAGATTCTGAGCCTCTTCTTTTCATAGAGTAAGTTGGAGGTGGAAATTCTTTTGATCATTTATTCAAAATGCACAATGTGTACAACCCTCAGCCCATTTAATAATCACTATATTGAGAAGGTTATTAATGAACTGTGAAATCAGAAAAAAAATATTAAAAACAGATGAGTACTATAAAGAGCAGAGGAAATTAAGAGGGTCAGAGTGGCTAAAACCAGGTTCTTAGTGGAGATCTGAGAGAAATTATCAGGTTATCTCTGTTACTGTCATTTGTTCACCAGGATTGGGATAGAATATCTAGATCTTTTCCAATCCTTATATTTGGGGGCTAGGTAAAGTTAAATAGACCTGGTCATTCTACCTGTACTCCTGACTTTCTACCTATAGTAAAGTCCAAGTTGAAGAACATGTCAAGGATAAATGAAATATTGAAAAACTAGTGACTAGTGAAATGATTTCAGAAGGAAGTAATGCAGAAGTCATTAGTGATCTTAATGTTGGGAATTGTTAAGAACTTGGATGTGAAGTAAGGGCAGATCAGAGAAATCAAAGGTTTCATAAAGCCCCTGTGGAACAAAATCTAACATTTACAAAGTTCATGACCTGAGAATAAGAACCAGACTTTTAGTGTATATACAAGATATAGTTTTTGTCTCAAACATCACTGTATTGTCCTCTCCTATAGACTAATTTCAGTAGTCTGCTTCAGTATAATGCAGTTTCAAAAATTGAATTTTCTCTCTCTTTTTTTTTTTAATTAGAATCACTTAAAATAGCATATAGAGAATTTCTTAAAAGTCTGTGTGGTTGTGTAACAGCTCTGTAACCTTATTTTAGTAATTTGTTTAAATTTAGTTGTGTTCGAAATTAAATTAATCTCTTTTAATGAAAATGTGACTCCTATGCTGGTCATTATTTTGGAGTGAGATTGATGTGGTGTAGTTAAATTTTAATGTGATTTTGTTGGCATAATGGGAAAAGTGTGAGGTCTGGAATCAGTTTTTTAAATTATTTGTACATCACCTTACAGTTTGGTGAGTACTGGCAAGTTTCTTCATCTCTCAGCCTTTCTTTTCTTCTTAAATTGGTGATAGTGATGCCTGTCTTTATAGGGTTGTAGTTAGAATAATAGCTAATAATTAATGTATATTGGGCATTTACTACCTACTGCACATTTTTTTATGCACTGTACATACTTATTCTGCTTCCAGAATTAGACTGATAAGTATTACTATTTTTAAACTGAGGGAACTGAGAGGCATAAGGAAGTTAGTACCTTGGTCAAGCTAGTAAGTAGTAAGTAGTAAAGTATTTGAATCTAAGTGTGATCCCAGATGAAATGAAATAAAACAAAGCAACCCTTTAAGGTACATGGTAGCTGACTTAAGACTACAGTATGAGTCTTGGGGGGTAATTTATGTTTTTCAATAAATAGAAAACATTAAGGTTTATAACTTAGGAGGAAAGAAAGATAGATCTTTGGACTAAATGCTCAGTCTCTATAATACTGAGGACTTCCTTATTTATTTATAAGGATATTGCAATAAGATTTAAAAGCTTTTAAAAGGCTTTTGGGTGTGTTACCCTTAGATTGTAAGCTTATTTGAAGCTGAGAGTTGTGTGTGGTTTTTGTTTGTTTTTTAATAAAAAGTAAAACGAGGTGGGTGTGGTGAAACCCCAGCTACTTGGGATAGTGAGGCAGAAGGGCTATATGATCGAGAACAGCCCGGGCAGGGCAACTTTGTGAGACCCTGTCTCAAAATAAAATAAAAAGTTCTGGGGAAATAACTCAGTGGTAGAGCACTTTCCTAGCATGCTGGAGGTCCTGGCACCAAAACTGGAACAGAAAGTAAAGTAGAATGGAATATTCTAAGTGTAAGCCTAGATCAGTATTTCTCAATCATGATATTTTGCCCACTCTCCTTCCCCTAGGAAACTTTTTGCCACATCTGTAGACATTTTTTGGTTGAAGTGAGAAGAATGCTGTGTGCTACTGACATTTTGTGGGTAGAGGCCTGAATGCTGCTAAGCATCATAAAAGGCACAAGATATCCTCCCCCCCCC